TGCCTCTAGACCATGGCCATACAGCCCGAAAAAACCTACAACAACCCAGTGATTCCGGCCGTGAAAGCCTTCAACAATACAATACATTGTATTATTTGCATAGTACGGGATCAGTATTATATATTACTCTATTGTACTAGACCATTGTATTGTAATATTATTAGTAATGTAACGGTGCTCCATGCAGTCATGCCAATGGCCACATGACCTTGGAGGTGTCTATGGACAACACCAGCTCTTCAACTTAGAAATGGAGATGAGCACCACCCCCCAGAGTCAGATATGACTTAACGTCAGGGGACAACCTTTACCTTAACGTTACATGTCCTATGAAATATATGTTTATAATATCATATTATTATTGTTATTAGGATTATACTGTATTACATTATAATGTCATAAATATTTTATGCATACACAATATATTACATTATTTTATGTTATTAGGATTATATTGTATTACATTATAATATTATAAATATTATATGTATACACAATATATTACATTATATTATTCGCATAGCACAGGAGTCAAGGTGGAGCTGTCTTCCGGCCGCTCTCTCTTCACTCCGGCCCAGAGCAGCGGTTGGTGCCCTGCGGTGATCATGGGGGCCATAGGGCAGTGCCAAAGGGGCCCCCTCCCTCCCTCCCTCAGGCAGGCACTTGGCATCCCTTCATTCCTCCCCCTTGGAGCCCCCTCCCTCCCCTTCTTCCCTGCCCAAAGCAGACCTCCTTCAAGGAGGGGGGCAGGGGTTCCCGAGGAAGCAGAATGGTTGGAGGGGTGAGGGAGGAAGGGAGCCCCTTCCCCCAATTAGGGGGCCAGGGGAAGAGTGAGCCCCGCCTGGTRTGCCCACAGATAGGAGACAGGGAGAGGCTGGCCTTCCACGCTCTTCAAGGAAACCATTGGGASCCATGTSRCTGGAACCGAGGCTCACAAGACTGGCTTTGCCCAGTTTAGAATGCTTTTATGTCAAGCAGTTTTGAGTCCCCTTTGGGAAGATACGGCAGGGTAGAAATGCAACAACAAACAGCTCTAAGTGGTTTTGGTGCTCGGTCATTGGACTGAGTAATTCAAGCCCAACATTCCCCTCATCCAAACAGATCTCGTCCTTTGAGGCCTCTCCTGTTCCAGCTGGACTTCTGCCTGGCGTCCATTCAGTCATGGTTCCCTCTGGATTCCTTCTTTGTGGCCCTTTGTTTACCTTCCCTTTCTCCTTCCATTTTTCCTCCTTGTTTGGCCCCCCCTTCTCATCCTGCTTTCCCAGTTTCCATTGTCCTTCTTTGGGGGCCAMTAGAGATCTCTTCAAAATGGCCTTTAGTTGGTCCAGCTTGCCGTTGGCACTAGGGATTAATCCACCCAGAATTTCCAGTGGTTTCATCACTTCTGTGCCTTCAGCCAACATCATCTTCTTCTTTTTTTAAAATAGTCTTTATTGTGGTTTTCACTATAACAACGAAAGAGAGGGAACAATATGTATGATAGGAAAGGTTGGGAAAATGATAGGTTGGAATAGAGATGGGGGAAGGGGAGGTGGGTGATGGGAGCGTAGGGGATTACGATGAGGGGCGGTCCGTCTACCCGTGCAAGAAAAAGAATAAAGAGAAAAAAAGGGAAGGAAAAAAAAGGAGAGAATGAGGGTTTTTGGTGGCTTCCGTTCAGTCCGCCGAGGAAGTATCTTGAGTTTTACACATCTTCTTTTGGTCTCACATTCTTTTCTTGTTCTATTAAATCCCTGGTGCCTAGTATTATATG